CACGTTCTGACAGCGACCGACAGCATCTTGGCCACCAGCTACCCAGAAACCAGCAACCCTTTCCGCATGATGCACCCCGTGGGCCAGCAAGTACCCATGCGGCATTCACACGGGAGCTGCTGAAATGAGTGGTCTGAATGTGGCCAGCCCCAGAGGGTCCCTCCCACACGTGGCTTCTGTGGGCTTTAGGCTGGAACAGCAATGCTTGCCAGGCTGCACACACCCGGTCCTGGCTCCCAGGGTGCCGGCGGCCCCACTGTCACCGGCAGCTCGGTGGTCACCGGCAGCCCTGTCACGGCCTAACTCTGGTTTGCGGCCCGACGACACGCAGGACACGCAGTCAAGGTGGACAGAATCTGACATGCATGTCTGACTGGCTGGGGACGTGGCTGTGAGCGCTCATTCGTTGCTTCTGTGGAATATTCAAGCCCAACAGGCCCCATATGTGTGTCTGCCATACCTGGCACTCCTTCTCCTTGCTCGACCCTGGAAAGGTTGCAGAGGCAGCTGGGAAATGAGGTGCCGCCCGCGCTCCCAGCCCTGGGGTCTTCCCTGGAGCCCTGCTGAGAAGGCCCCACTTCCTGTCCCAGCAGGCTCCAGCCTCCAGTCCAGGGCCGCGGGCCTCAGCCTCCACATCTGTCCCTACCCCAGCAGGCTCCGGCCTCTGGTCCAGGGCCGCAGGCCTCAGGGCACAGACCCCGCAGCTGCCGTAGGTACTCTGTGGGGCACCAAGGCCCGCGGTCACTCAGGAAGGCTGCCCCAGGGGAGACGAGGCGGGGGCTGGCAAACTAAAAACCACTGTGAGAGGGAGAAACAAGTCCCTCGCGGCTGATGGCAGCCCAGGTCACCGGGCTGTCCCTGAGCCGCTGTCTGACTGATGTTGTTTGCTGGATGGGTCCGGCCCGGGGTGGGGCAAGGAGCTAACCGACAGAGCAGGAAGGAGGACTCAGAGAAGGCAGGGTCCCACGTGCTTCCACACAGGACCCTCGCCTGGCGGGGGGACCGGCTAGGCAGGAGTGACAATCCCAGTGGTGGGGGGCTTGCAGAGAAGGGAGCCAGGCCCTGGGAGGAGGGGTTCCCAGGCACCCAATGTGGCCACAGCCAGGCCCCCTGCCCAGCCTTCCCCCAGAGATTTCCCGCGTGGTGGGGTCAGAGCAAGGAGACAGCTCTGGCCGTCGGCTTCCCGCAGCTCCCACACGTCCACATCCCTGTCACTGGGCGCGCCTCCCCACCGTCCGAGCAGCAGTGGCACGTGGGCTTATGCTGCCCCTCGGTTTCTGGTGATTTCTTGAAGGCATCTTCTGTGGGGTCGCCGGACATGAGAGGCACAGAGCACAGGAGTTAAATCACTGCCCCTCGTCCCCCGGGTCCCGGGGGCTGCCCTCCTGACACCGGGCCCATCGCTGCCCAGGGGCCCTGCGGGTCTGCTCCCCCGCAGGCGGCCTCTCCCAGCGGCCCCAGTGCGGCCCTCCCACACGTGGCTTCTGTGGTCTGGGGAGGACACGCAGGCCGTGCCGCCTGCCCAGGAGCCTGGGGCGGGGGGGCTCGCTGCGCGGCCAGCTGCCTCCACTCGCAGAGACCGGCTCTGGCATAAAGGCCATCACCCCCCCCCACCTGCACCGCTCCATCAAGCCGAGGACGCGTGGGACTACACGTGGGAGGTCACAGGGCAGCCGACAGCAGGGGTGACGGCACCGGGGTGATGGAGGGCACTGAGGAGGCGCTGGGCAGGAAGCAGCAGACCTCCCTGTGGAAGGAACACGTGTGGTGGTGGCTGGGGTGGGAGGGTTCATCTGTCTGCTGCGGGCTACTGTCCAGGTGTCTGTGGACACTTGGGGTCCCCCAAGGAGAAGCAGGTGCGTGGCCGGCCAGCACTGTCACCTGGAAGGTGGCCACCCCCAGCCAGCGGCAGAGGCAACAGGGAGCAGAGAGCTCCGCCATGAAGCTTTGCAAGGCAAGAAGGAGGCTCGGGGGGCCACGGCCCAAGGTGGGGCCCGGCAGGGGCAGCGGGGAGAGGGGGGCTCCAAGGGTCTCAGATCCAACCCCTCGGTTACATGGCCTCCACCTCTGTCCCATGGTCATGGGGCACAGACACACAGACAGTGAGTGGTAGCCAGGGGCGCTCCCCCCATGGGCAGCAGTCCGCAGTTCTGGATGGCGCCTGAGCCTGAGTGTCCAGAGGAGGCTGTATTTTAATATAACTGCAGAGTGCGCGGCCTGCTTCCTGTCCAGCCCCTGCAAGGGACACGCCCGACAGAGGCCGTGAACCCGGGTCAGCTGAACCGTGGCTGCCGGCAGGAGCCACTCCTCTCCTGGAGCAATCGCCCACCCTCCCGTCGGACGGTCACGGAGGACAGTTGGCTCTGCAGGGGAGGCATGTCCCCAGGGAACAGAGTCACTGAAGAGCACAGACAGACAGCCGCTCAGATCCCAGAGCCAGTTAGGGTGGGATGGCTGCCTGGAGGCCCTGAGGGGCTGGCACAGAGGCAGGCCGTTCCTCTCCTCTGGGGTTGCCCTGTGTGTGACCCGTCTTCAGAGGACATGTCAGGGGCACGTGTCCCATCCACGGCAGGCCCAGCCGCACCCGCCCCTGTCCTGTCTGTCAGGGCGAGTACAAGAAACCCGACCAAGGGCCGAAGTGGCCAGCCTTCACACCAGGAAGCCAGTACTTCCGAGCGAGTTTTGAGGCCCCTTCCCCTCTCGGGAATCCAGTGTGGCAAATTCTGGTGCCCCTGGGGCCAGTGGCGGACGGAAAGAAGTGAGGCCACTCTCTTACCCTGGGTCAGGACCAGCCACGGTCTTCCCTGAACCCTGCCCTGCCCATCCCACAGAGATGCTGCCTGCATGGTAAGGACCTCTAGCACACCCTCCATCCATTCCAGAACATTCCCCAGGGGCCACGCCCAGGCCCAGGGCTGCCCTGTCCTGAGGGCTCTCCTTCTTGTCCATTGATGGCCCAGGACCAGGGGCCACGAGCATGGACTCCAAGCAGTGAGACCTTGGGGTTACGGGCAGGGCCCAACCCCCAAGGGGCTGGGCTTCTCCCTGGAGGAAAGGGTACAGGGGTGGGGGCAAAGGCTGGTCTGTGTTGGGCTTCTCTGCACAGCCTGGGGCGTTAAGGGGGAGAACAGGCCAAGGTGAACGCTGGGGAGGGGGTGGGGGCCCGAGGCACAGGCAGGATGCCCCTCCCACCATGGGGCAGCGACTCTCCTGGACTCTTGGGAGTGGCCACAGATAATCACGCCAGTCCCGTCAGCCCCCTCACGCCCCACCATTACACAAATGCCCCACAGTGAGTTCCCCAGGCAGGAACTCTCACCAGAGGCAGGCCACACCCTCTATGCCCCCAGAGCCCAGCTCGTTGGGGTCAGATGAGGCCCAGCCTCTGAGCAATAGGGAATGCTGCCCCCCGCCCCGCTCTGTCTCCCCGAGGACACCTGCCTCACACCTCTCCCAAGCTCCTCGGGCTATAGACAGCCTTGGGTGCTGGGAGGTGCCCAACCACACAGCATGTGTCCCCTGGGCTCTGAATCTGTGCCTTCAGAAGCTGGAGGTTATTGCTGGTCCAGAGGGGCCCGGGGCAGGAGGACTGGCTATAGGGCGTGTGCGCTGACGTGTCCAATGAGCCCCATGCCAGCCCCGGATGCCCAGTGGGACTGTGTCCAGCTGGGGAGCCTGGCCCATGCCTGCGTGGGGCACTCCGGAGGCTGTCCTCCCGGGGGACAGCAGGCAGAGGCCCTGAGGGTACCAGAACAGAGCACAGGCACTTCTCGGAGACACTTCTTTTGAGCACAGGTGACCCTGTCTTGAATTTCCACTTTGAGGAGACAGCCTGGCGCCTAGCAGTACCTCAGCAGCGCTCCCACCAAGGAACCCCTCACTACAGGTCCCTCCTGGCCTTGCCCCGGTGGGCTGCCCCCCATCCTCCCGGGATGCCCCAGAGGAGCCCAGGCTCTGGGAGTCTCGGGGGACATCCCCAGAGTCCCTACACTGGCCTCTACTCGTTTGAGGGGCAGTCATTCCTGGCCGCTGGGCCCCTCTCCAGCAGCTGCCTCTGTTCAAGAGGGACTCCGCAGGGAGAGGTCCAGCTTGGAATGAGGCGTGGGGAGGGGACACTGGCCCGACTGGATGCCCAGTGCCAGACTCAGTCCAGAGGCCCCAGAAGGCCCCTGCTGAGAGGGATGCAGGTCTGTGCCTGTCCCTCACCTTGCCCAGCCCCTGGGCCTGGGTCCCACCACCCCAGTGAGTGAGCTCTGAGAGTCCCTGCCTGTCCTTTATGTGGCTCTGGGAAGCTTTCAGTGACAGGAGTAGGGCGAGTGTGACACAAATCACATGTGGAGTCGATTATCCTGCGGGGGGACTCCAGAGGGAAGCGTCCAAGCACAAGGTTAGGATGAGGGGGGTCTCCTTTGGTCCTTGGGCAGGTGCTTTCTTCTCACCAGGCCTCAGTCTACCCATCTGCTGGACGCCAGCCCGCTACTGACCTCTGAGTTCTTTTCTAGATGTTAGAAAAGAAAGCCAGTTTATGATTCTCCCTCAGGGGGAAGCTGGTGTGCGGCCCCCAAACACACAGTCCTCCCAGGGAGAACCCCAGAAGGCTGGGAGCCCTTTCCCACAGGTGCGGGGTGAGGGGGAGGTCTGGGGGAGAGCCAGCCCCCTCCTGGGTGTGTCGCTCAGGGGGACAGCTTCACCCAGGACGCCTCCGGGTCTCCAGGAAACCGCTTCCAGACAACAGCGTTCCTTAGACCCCATGGCAGCAAGGCCTGCACTCCTGTTTCCAGGGAAACTCAATCCTCAGCGTCGCGGTTGCCCCAGCAACGCCCCGGGCTAAGCTGGCGGCTTGGTGGCCAGCCCAGAGGGGGCAGCTGGGCACTCTGACGGAGGAGCCAGGTGTGGTGCTGGAGCACCGAAGCAGGTCCTGGCTCGGCCAGGGTGCCAGGAGGACACTCACCGGGCAGCCAAGCCCCGGCTTACTCCCGAGTCCCGTGCTCCGGTCCGAGATGAGTTCTGCCTCCAGCGAGCCCGGTGATGGGGATGCCACTGCAAAGCAGACCCCACTGGGGCTGGACACCGTGATCCAGGTCAGTGGGGTGCCCGCCCTCCAGCACCCTCCTGGGAGTAGGCTCAAGGGCACCTTGGGGGGTGCACGGAGAGGCCACACCTCCCCAGCTCCAAGGGGCACTTGAGTGCTCACATGGTCAGCATGAGCACGCACATGCGCACATGCACGCACACACAAGTGCAGCATCAGCTCAGGAGAGGGGCCTGGGGAGAGACCGGACTGGGCATGGGGAGACCTGAGCCCAGCACCCAGCCGCCCCATCCATGCCTGCATGAGCTCAGGCCGTCAGCCCCCTTCTCTGAGCCTCAGGCTCGCAGCCTGCACACTGCAGGTGGGGAGGGACAGGCGACTCTTCCAAACTGGGGTCCCACGTGCTGGGATCCCACTCACTGCTTTCTTCGTGGCCGAGTGTGGGAGCTGCCATTGCTGGGCGGATGTGGTTCATCCCAGTATCTATTCTCTGACTTCCAGAACTTTCCCGTGTGCATAACAGCAACAACAGTGAGGACCGAGAACTCTCCCCATGCCCCTCTCTCCTTCACTCCCTACTTCCCAGAGTCAACCCAGTGCCCGGCCCCGCCATCCCACCCCCTTAGGCGCCTACCACTGCCATCACTTGACTCTGGCCACCACGGGCGGGCAGTCCGCACCCTGACTGACCCCTCGGGGATCCCAGTGAACCCCCGATGCCCCGGCTGACTCAGTTGTTTATGAACCCAGTTCTTAGAACCTCGGACTGCGCTGTAGGGGGTTGACATGGCCCTATATAAACAGCACAGGTGACCAGAGAAGAGTAATTGCCCACAGTTGTTGCCACATGATTAAATGACATGGTGGAGCCACCTTCCACACGCACACGCACACGCACACACGTGCACATACACACTGATGCCTACACAGGGTGCAATGTGATGGGACGGGACCCTTGAACCAGGTGACACAAGACAGAACAAGGGCCTGGGTGGGTGACTTTGTCCAGCTCCCAAGGGGTGTCAGTTCTCTGGTGGAGAGAAGGAGATGGAGGGAGGGCAGGCTTGCACACTAGTTTCAAGACACTTTCAGCCAGGCATCCCAGAGGATCATCCTCTCTGGATTCCAGGAAAATAGAGGCTTGAGGGCTGAAGCACGTTGCTATGGCTACCAGCGTTTGCGGGAGAGACGCCGGCTGGGGCCATTGTCTGGCAGTGGGCCATTGCTTGGCAGACAAGGCTGCCCCCAAATCCCACTGTCTGTGGGAAACTGTCACTGAAAGTCACAAGGAGTCCCAGCCGAGGTCCGCGCTGCCCACCCAGCCAACACCTGTTATTTGCATTGTGGTGATGGAGATCTGGGTGCCATCACCCCGGGGGTGAGTAGGCAGGCAGGCGCCAAGAGATGCCCAGATAAGCCTGTCCAGACAGGGAGGCAGGGCCACAGGGCTCCTCCAGCCCATCCAGCTGCAGACAGGGAAACTGAGGGGCCTGGGCAGGGTGTGGCTTGCAGATGGGACCAGGCCTGATGGTACTCCCCACGCCTGGACAAGTGCCCCTGCAGCCTCTGCACGGCACACCCCAGAGCACCCAGCCCCTGGCCTCCCCCTCAGAGCTGGGTTCTCAGGGGGTCCGGACCTAGAGCAGACAGAAAGGCGGACGCAAGGAAGAGCCCCGGGCGGGGAGGGCAACGCCAGGGGGCCTGGGATTCTGGATTCGGTCCCCTTAAAAGCTACCGAAATAGACTCTCTTTCAGGTGTAGGTTCTGATTAATGATAATTTCCTAGGAATTTGTCCACATATCTAAATTTTCAAATTTACTGATAGAAGTTGTTCCCAATATCTTCTCGCTGTTGTTTTGATGTTTGAGGATCTGAAGCAGGTGGCCGCCGGATCCTGGAGTTGAGGGGTGGGAGACCCAGGTATTCCTGTGTGACATTCAGGGGATCAGGGCAGGCCGAGAGGAGTCGGGCACCCTGAGCGATACCCATTTTGCTTTTCTGATTTCAGCCACTGGTTGATCCTCTTTACAGTATTTTTACCTTCTATTTCATTATTGTATAGATTTATTATGCCTTTGCTTTTCAGTTCTTTGGGTTTATTGCTCATCTAATTTTTTGAGATGTGTGCTTATCTCATTAATTTGCAGGCTTCTTTTTAAAAAAATTTTTTTTTAATGAGGCACCTGGGTAGCTCAGTCAGTTGAGTGTCCGACTCTTGGTTTCAGCTCGGGTCATGATCTTGCAGTCGTGGGATCGAGGCCGGCATTGGGCTCCGTGCTCAGTGCAGAGTCTGCCTCAGATGCTCTCTCCCTCTGCCTGTGCTCACCCACTCTGTCTCTCTCTCCGCACACATGCGTGTGCACGCTCTCTCTCTCTCTCTAATAGGTAGATAAATAAAATCTTAAAAAAATGTTTAACTTCTTTTAAAAAGGTGGCAAAAAATATATATACATCAAATTTACCATTTTAATCATTTTTAAGTGTGTGGTTCAGTGGCATTAAGCCCATTGACATTTATATACAACCATCACCACCATCATCTCCAGAACTTTCTCACCTTCTCAAACTGAAACTCTGTCCCCATGAAACACAGACTCCCCAGCCCCACCCCAGCCCCTGGTGCCCACCCTTCTGCTCTCTGCCTCCATGAATCTGGCCACTCTCAGGACCTCAGAGGTGGACTTGGACAATATCTCTCCTTCTGTCCCCGATCCGTTTCACCCAGTGCGATGTCCCCCGGGTTCATCCATGTGCTAGCCGCGGCCAGAATGTCCTTCCTTTGCGAGGCCGAATCACTCCCTTGTGTGGATGGACCACATCGTGTTTCTCCGCTCACCTGTTCATGGACCGTTGGGTTGTTTCCACCTTTGGGCTGTTGTGAATACGCTGCTGTGGACATTGGTGTGCAAATCTGTGTTTCAGTCCCTGCCTTCACTTCTTTTGGGGATACACCCAGAAGTGGGGTTGCTGGGTCCTATGGTAACTTCTTATTTAATGTGAGGAACCACCCTACTGTTTTCCATAACAACTGTATCATTTCACATCCCCATTTTCTTTTTCTTCTTTTTTTAAGGTATGCTTTTCTTTCTAAACAACGCGTTAGCTACATCCCATACATTTTGATATAATAATTTTCGTTATTATCCAGTTCAAACTGTTTCCTAATTTCCATTGTGATTCTATCCATGGGTCATCTAGAGGTATAAATACCCTAATTTCCAGACATGTAGAGATTTTCAAATTGTTTTCTACACCTCGTTTGAGTATATTGTGCTCAGAGGTTTTGTTTGGAACATCTTAGAGTGGACAAGCCTATTAGCATCCAAGTGGGGATGGGAGGGAGGTAAGTGGATATACGGACCTGACCTCAGGGAAGAGCTCCATGCTGGAAATAGACATGTGGGGTTGCTGGCATGTGCGTAGCTGGGCGAGTGTATATAGAAAGAGGAGCTGGAGCACTCCCACACTTACAGGTGGGAGAAGCAAGAAGGAACCAGCCAAGGAGACCAAGACAGGGGGCCAACGAGATGAGAACAACTGGGGGTGGTGTCAGGAGGCGAATGTTTCAGGGAGGAGGTGGTGACCCCCATGCTGCTAAGACATCAAGCAAGAGGGAGACCATGGACCACTGGGTTTAGCAACATGGAGGTCACAGGTGACCTTGACTGCAAGGGTACCTCATGGGGCATGTGGGAGCAACACTTTTTTAAAGAGGGTTATAAATTAAAACAGTTTGTGTCAAAAAGCAGGGTCTGAAAGAGAGAGAAAAACCACTGATACATAAGAAGAAGGAAGGCTTGCTGGACAACGTGTTAGGTACATGACAGAAGATGAGGTGGGATGGGAACTGAGGGGGCCACCCATGCGACTATAGGATGCTTGAGAGCATCCTGGTGCGGCAAGCCCTCCTCACGCACTTGCCAAGGGCCAAGCCCTGTGCTATTTCCAAGCCAGCCAAGGACAGAGGCACTGGCCCATCTCCGAATCTTCCATCCATTTGCCCTGATGCAGCCAAGGTCATGTCAGACCGGGTCAGATTAAGCAGTTATGCTAATCAAATGGGCCACATCCCCCTCCTCCTCATTCAGAAACCCCGCTCTCCCTGCTGCCACACCATGGTCCATAGCCATCCAAGGCTCCCACAGCGTCTGCCTCTCCTGCCTCGTTGCCCCCCACCCCTGCACCCTCCTCCCCCAGGCCCCATGCCGACGTTGAGAACCCACTACTCCCACTCTTCCCTCCACCTGGACACCTGACCTGTGCCTCCGCTATAGCTGCTGGGCCCTTGCTTGTCCTGCCACCTCCTCCAGGAAGCCTGTGTGCGCACCACGAACACAGGAGCAAACAAGACCAACAGGGCCCTTGCCCTTCCGAGAGTTCCTTAATATAAATCATTTTGTAGTTACTGATGCACACCTTAGGCTGGGTTTTCCGCCGTTCACACGGTGACCTGTACCAAGCACTGATCATGCTGGGGACTCAGAGATAAATGACAAGTTGTTCCCCTCACCCCCAAATGCCTGTTCAATGCCTGGCCCGGATCTCCCATTTATTATGAGTTGAGGATCAAACTGCCCCCCGTAAGAAGCAGGACCCTGCTCCTGGGGTGACACCCAGGGCCCCAGCAGGCTCCACAAATGCACAGAAATCTGAACTGGCCAGTGCTAAGACAGAGCAGCCAGGGGCCAGGTGTTACCGCAGACACAGAGGAGCTCTTTTTCCTCAGGAAACGGAGCCTGGCAGGCCACCAGCCCGGCCAGGGCCCTCTCTGCAGCAGGCCAAGCCACGGAAGGATGGCAAGCAGACGTCCGGTAGCTGGCCTTGGCTGCAGACCCTGTCCTCGGATGTGTCCTCCCCAGCTGTGCCCGCTCCTGGCGAGGGCCAAAGCCTGCTGCCGAGGAAGGCAGGGGGGCCTGTGGGAGGGCCCGAGTGGGCAGACAGGGAGGAGCACAGGGGGCGGCAGCCATGTGGGGCCAGGTTCTCAGTTCCTCTGCCATCTGCCTGGGCTCAGGGATGTGCCACACCGGGCAGGACACCTGAGGCCAGTGTGCCTGCTGAGTCCGTCTCCTGCCACGGGGAAGGTGCCGGGACCCACAGGCGGGTCAGTCCTAACACTACCTTTTGTGGGTGCGTGACCTTGGGGGAGCCTCCTCGCCCATAGAGTGAACAGGAAACCTGCCCTTTGGGGTCACGACAGCGGGAGTGACGATGTTCGCTAAGAAATCCTCAGCGGGGAATGCCCCGCCTCACTTCACTCCTGCGGGCTGGCGACCTTCCCTTCTCCATGGCGCGGGTCAGCCCCCGTAGCCACAGCCTCCTGCAGTACCGCTGGCAGCCACACAGCGGCACTGTGGGAGCTCGGCCACCCAACGCAGCAGCCGGCCAGTCCACAGGCGGAGGGGCCCAGGACAGCTCCTGGACTCGCACTCCCTCACTCGGCCTGCTCCTGCCCCGGGAGGCTGCAGCCTGTGACCTGGCTGAGCGGGGATCGTCCACTGGACGCTCTGTCCCGGGGTGATTTTGATCAGAGGTTCGGGTGCCCCTCCCTCCCTACCACTGGGCTCATTGAACGCACTCTGGGGCACCCAAGGGTCTCCCTAGGTCGGGGGTGGGGGAGCCTGACCTTCCATCCCGAAGATGCCAGGCTCCTCTTGCGAGCCCATCCTTCCCTCCTCCTGGGTAATAGGCGGTCTGCGTCTGGTGCCCCTAGGAGCCTGGACGCCCAGGGGGAGCCACTCGGGGACTTACTGATGCTGCTCCCCAGCAAGAGGAAGTAGTGAACTTGCTCTGTGTCATTTCCATTCCTGACCTACAAGGCCACCTGCCCTCCCGAGCCACCTCCTGTCCCACGGACTCCACACCCCACCCTCCCCAGAGGCGCAGCACCCCCAGGGCTCTGGGATGCCCCCTCCCATTTCACAGATGAGGACCTGAGGCAGGAGACACACCCAGGGTCATGCGGTGCACTGGCTGCGGCAGCACAGGGACCCCAGCCCAATTCAAAAGGGGAGTCCTGCTCTGATCTGGGTGGGGTAGATAGGGGAGCCCACGTTCCTCCGTGCGCAGCCTCTCCCCTCCACACAGCCGCAATGGGGAGGGGTGACCATGACCAAGGGGTGCCTGGCCCCTTTGGCAGAGATCTGCTTCCACGGGCCGTGCCACACAGGGACTGGGACCTCGCAGTGGCCTTTAGCGCAAGTTGAGCTGAGGAGGGCGCTGGAGGCAGGAGGAAGGGATAGGGCTGCGTTCAACCGTGAGTCTGGGGTCTTTGGGGAAACAGATGTCCAGTCCTCCTCCGAGGGGCTGAGAGTCCCGGGGCGGGGGGTAGCCTTCTGGAAGCCTCCCTGTGCACTGCCCCGACACGCAGACTCCCCCCCCCCCCCCCCCCCCCGGCCCGCAGAGGAGGCGACCCGCCCGGACCTGCAGGGCCGCAAGTGGCGGCCAGGGGCTGCAGACAGGAAGGTCTCGGGGCGGAGTGAGCAGCCTCTCTGGGCCAGACTCAAGGCGGCCGGGAACAGGCGGCGAGCCGCGGGGTCCTGCCCGGAGGTCCGCGAGGCCCCCGCGACCCGCCCCGGATGGAGACCAGGCCTCTCTCCTGGCCCCGCCCCCCACTCCTGGCTCTTCCCCTTCCCCTCCCGGCCCCTCCCCCTCCCGGCCCCCCCTTCCCCCTCCTGCCCCTGCCCCTCCAGGGCCTGCTCCTTCCCCGCCCTCAACACCCCACGGCCCCTCCCCTCCGAGCGCCCCCCGCCGCGCCCCCTCGGCTCCAGCTGGGCCGTGGCCCATCGCAGGCACCCGGCCACAGCTGGAACCCATTACGCCCCCAGCGCCTCTTGGGACGTCTCGGCTAATAAGTGACCCTCTGTAAATGTTAGGAATGAGTCAAGTTTATGCCGCGCTGCTTCAGCCTTCCCGTTAGCGGGTGGCGCCTCGGATGCCCGAGGGAGTGGGGAGGGTGGGGGAGGACGAAGGGGCAGAGTCGTTGCTGGCCTCGGAGGGAGAGCTTCCTGGAGTTCATTGTTCCTACAGCGGGGCCGGGGTGGGTCTCACTACCCCTCTGAGCCTCAGTTTCCCCGCGTGCAAATACAGGGTTCAGGGCAGACAATGGCTGAGCCCCTTTCGCCGCCTTTCCTCCCAGGAGGACATTAGGCGGGGTTGATGGTCTTGGCACTCGTGCCTTGCTTGGCCCAGAAAGGGTAGCAGGCACATCCTCCCCCGCCCGGAGACAGGCTGCTCACCTCCCACCCGGAGTAATACTGAAGGGGGTCATGGGGGGGTGTTGGGGCATGGCGCCTTCCCAAGGCCCCCTGCTGACTCAAATTCAAGCATCACTGTGCGAAGTAAGGCTGCAGCCTGAAGAAGGGCTGGGTCCCAGGTGAACCAGGACTAGGGTTCTCACCCCAGGGGGAGGGCAGTGGAAGTTGGTTCGTGGTATTTGCTCAGTGACCGTCCAGCACCTGGGCTGGGGATCAGAATGGGGCCTCACCAGGTGTCATGCAGGAACCCAGGTCTCGGGGCGGGGGCAGGGGGTGGTGACTCTTGGCATTCTGGTCCAGATGGAACCTGCCTTGTGTCCAGGGAGAATTTGAGGCGTGTGTGCAGAAGATGCCAGGCTGGGATCTCAGGAAGGAAGAACAGAGAGAATGTACCAGGGCAACGGGGTGGGCAGAACAGGGGTACGCCCAGGAAGCCCTCCACCCCCACCAGCCAGGGGCTGAGGGTCAGAGCCAGGTGGAGCCGTCTGAACCTGGAAAGGCTTCAGGGAGAGCTGGGAGGAAATCAGAGGAGGGAGGGGACAGGCGGTAGGAGGCGGTTCAGTGGTCCCTCACCCGGACCCTGGGCTGGGAGGGAGATTTGGGGTCACAGGGCGAGGGAGCAGGTTCTGAGGGACCCCAGGGGAGGGGGATCCCGGGGAGCCCAGAGGAGGGGTGAGTTTCAGAAGTCTGGGACTGGGTGGGCTGTGATAGGAGCACCCCGGTTTGCGGCCCTGGAGAGTCACTGTCTCAGGATCCCCTGGGAAGCACCCGGTGGTCTTGTCACACCAAGCGCTCTCACATCAAGAGTGAAGTGCTGCTTCACAGGCCCCTGAATGTCGTTCCCATGGCCAGTGCCACAGTTAGGCCCAGCAAGAAGGGCCCTGCCTGGGCCCGGGGTCTAGAGGGCACCCCCCGGCCCTCCCCCAGCTCTGCCTACCTCATGATGCAAAGAATCCGCAGAACAAAAGCAATGTGCCAACTCAGAGCCCAAGACCTCCCAATACCAGTCTCTGACTATCCAGAACCCTGGGATTTCCTGCCCACTTCCAGGCCTGCTGAGACCTCTCCCACGGCAGGTCAGCTGCTCTGGACGGGCCAGGAAGGAGGGCTGTCCTCACTGCCCTCCCACAGCCCCTCCCATGGCTCCTGCTCTGCCCTCTCCCAGGGCCCCCTCGTGCCCTTCCTGGTGGACAGGGCAAAGCCCTGAGCAGCTGGCCGCCTCCAAAAAGGGAGGTGGGTGGGTGGGCCTAGACCCTTACAAGTTGTCAATCCCTCCCAGCAACCCCCACTGTGAAGGTGGCGAGACCGTGTGCTGCAGGTGGTTGGGAGGTCGGGTCCCAGGACCGGAGCAGGGGCACCTCCCTCCCGGTGCCTCTGGAGACACCCACTGTGAACACTCAGCCTGGCCCCCACAGAGGTGGAGCAGGGCCAGAGGGCAGGGCACAGTTACCAGCTAGGCTAGGTGTCCTCCGGGTCCCCAGTGCTCAGAGCACCGCCGGTTACTCTACGGGTAGAGAAACCAAGGCATGTGCTTTGGGTGGTAGCCTCAGGCAGTCCTCTGCAGAGCACTTGGCGGCTGGGCTGGGGAGCCCTGTGGTAGCCCCCACGGACCCCAATGGGCTCACTGTCCAGGAGGCTGCCAGCCCCAAGTGAGTCTGGATGGCTGTTTTTCAGAGGCTGGAGGACACTGTCTTGAGTCCCACGGCCAGCAGAGAAGACCGGGCCCTGACTGTACGTGGGGAAGGCCTGCAGGCTTTGCCCATGCCTGTACCTGCCCGAATCCGGGAGATCGTGGCTGGCAGCCTGCGGGACAAACCACACCAAGGTGACGGGCGGTGGTAGGGGTGACGATGGAGGTGGGGGTGGGTACCGGGGGGGCCACAGAGCCATCAGCTGGAGTCTAGCTTCCATGCGTCCCCTGCCCCTGCAGTGTCCCCCTCCGGGTTCCAAGCCCCACCTAGGCTGGCCCCTCCTGTCATCTTGCAGTGTGATGGGGCACGGAACCACGCCCTCCCCCGGGGTCACCCACAGGGGCACGTGTCCAGACTCACAGCATGCTTACCACGAGGCCACAGGGACTGTCCAGCGCTGCATTTGTGTTTGTGACACATTTGTGACCAGCCGTCGTGATTTCATCATATTTGGGTTTCATTAGATGAGTGAAAATCCTGAAGGTCAACACTCAGGAAGCACAGACACTGAGCAGGCCCCTTGCACCCTGCCCCAGACCTCTGCTCCCCCAGCCCGCAGGCCCCCCCACCCCCGCCCGGGACCTCTGCTCACCCTGCCTGCAGGCCCCCTGGGGCAGAGCGCTTTGCAGCTAAGGAACTGGCCCCAGGCTGGGTCCCTGCAGCAGTGCCACCCACTGGTCAGGCCACTTGGCCCTAGCTAGTGCTGGTGACTCCCTTGTGTGTGGGTCCCGACACCCCTTTCTATAGTAAGGGTCTGTCCAGGCTCCTGAGGGAACCAGTCACTCACGATAGGTGTGTGTTAAGGAAGAAGAAAGCCCACTGTGTACTTAGAAAAGCAACTCGCTATTCAGATGAGACCGCCTTACCCTGACTCAGCAGTTCTCCCTGCTTCACGGGGGGTGGGGGCCCCCAGTGTCCAGGCCACTCCCACACCCTCTGCTCTAATTGGTTTGGGGCTCCCTGGGGTTAAAGGTGAGGATGAGAGGTAAGGTGTCGGTGGCCCGCCCTCCGACAGGAGCGGGAGGGAGGCCTGGAGCATGAAGTCCACATCCCCCACACCAGGGTCCCGGGTCAGAGCTGGACCCTCCTGGAAGAGCGGGGGGCAGACCAGCAGTGGGAGCCCGGGGACTGGCCCAGAGGCCCACCGTGGGGACAGGGTGCCGTGGCTGAGGAGCTGGGGGGCCCTGGTCCGGCCGCCCGGACCGACGCTGGCACTGCCCCTACAGGGGTGCAGGGGCTGCTGACTGCCTCGGGCCGTGCGCAGGAGGAGAATGAGCTCCTGCAGGAGGAGCTGGCCAGGCTGGAGAACCTGCTGGCCCAGGCAGGCACTGAGCAGGACGAGCTGGCCAGCAGGTACCACATGCTCAGTGAGCGGGTAAGCGTGCGCACCGGGCGCGTGGCAGGCAGAAGGCGGCAGCCTGGCCTGCGGAGAGGCAGTCACCTGTTGGGACTGGTGGCCAGACAGCCGGGACCATCGTCGAGTCTTAGGACATAGAATGACAGGTGACGTCAGCCACAGCACATCTAAACCCCGAGCCACAGACGGGAAAATGGGCTGGAGGGGGAAGGTGATGATAGGACGGGTGTCCAGGCCCCCTCTCCCTCCTGCAAAGTCCCCCCCAGGTCTCCCAGCCCAGCTGAAGTGTTGACTTGTGTCCTGCCTGCCCGGTGGCTTTGTGGGGGCAGCCGGGTCAGTCCTGAGCCCTCAGCGCCAACACCTCACTTTTGGGGTCTGCTAGGAATTGGCCCCAACCCTCAGACAGAGCTTGTAGTAGAGAATTGGCTCTGCCCCCGACCCCACACCTTTTCCTGACAGCCGAGGCCAGGGAAGCCCTCAGAGGATAGCTGTGACCCCTGGGTCCTCTGTCCCTGGGGCACCCACAAGGCTTTCCCCCGCAGCAAGATGCCATGTGGTTATAATGTGTGGGGCTCGGGGGGCCTCCTGTTGTTCAGGTGGCGAAAACCATGGCAGAAAGCTGAGGAAACTTGCCAGGCCAAAGCCTCTTTCCAAGGTCTGCCACTCCAAGCCCGATGGCTCCTGACGCGGGACTGGGCTGCAGATGCCCAGCTCCCAGTGCGGGGTGCTCAGAGTCCCTGTTGCGTCTGGCCCACCCCACCGCTGCTGTCTTCAGAGTCCTCCTCGCACCATGTGGCAGGATACATGACCCCAGTTTCCGGAAGAAAGAACTGAGATTCAGAGCAGCCAGACTTGCCCAGGGCTGGGGTGCCAGTGTTGGAGCCGAGGCTGAACCAGGGGCTGGCCCTTTCCCCAGCATGACCAGTGACCCGTACCAGCTGCCCGAGGCCCCCAGGATATCCGGGGCTTCCGGGAATCGGCAGCACCACCAGCCCCCATACTAAACACCCGCTCTCACGGCTGCCCCCACCCCCAGTGAGCCCCTCAGGCAGGACCACGGGGGCATCCTCAGCCCCGTCAGCTCCAGGAGGACATCAGCGAGCTCGCCTGCCCTCCAGGGCTGTCTGTGGCCTGGGCCCAGTCGTGGGGGTGGGGGGCCTTCCTAGCACAGGGTGGGGAGATGTTGGGAACCGGTGGTGGGAATGGAAGCCAGAAATCCTGCGGACAGATTAGTAAGCCTCATGAGTCAGAACTGAACTCCCAGACCCCGCAGCTCAGCGCACATGTCAGGCTCCCACGGGCGTCTCAGCCTCCCCCTTGTGCAGGCGCCAGAGGGGCCCGGCCGCCCCCACGTCACCCCCAAGCAGATGGGCGGGGTGGGGCGGGGGTCGGGGGGGCCAATGTGACTGCTCTGTGGTCACCCCCAGCCCCTGCCCTGGCCTCCTGGCTCTCCTGATTTCCCCGTGTCTCAGCACCCCACCAGCCCGCCTGCTGGGCCTGAGTTCCCCGCCCCAGACACCCCAAGTGTGCTCTGGGTCGGCACAGCCAGGGGCAGCGCCTAGCCCCTCCTGTTCTCCTTGGAGCTCAGGCCCCAGCAGGGAGCCAGGAAGGACTCAGGCTCTGAGGCAGGCCTGGTCCAGCTCGGCTCAGATGACCCCCAGCCCCAGCAGGCGGGCTGGGGGTGGAAGCCACTCATGTGGCCATGGCTCTTGCCCACCTGTGGAGGGACACGGGGAACACAAGATTCCAGCAACGGCCGGGGAGGGGGGCAGCTGGAGGGGTGGGACCCCACCCTTTCGCGCTCTCCGCGGGGGTGACCCCAGGCCTGCCCTGCAGTTTCTTTATGAAGCAGCCCCGGGGGCTCCCCTCCTCAGCCAGCCGCAGGCACTTGGCCCAGGGTCGGGGGGTGAATGCCTGCCCCTCGGCCCCATCCCCATCGCGTGGAGGGGCCTCAGCCTCAGCAGACCCCTGCTGGCGGCCCGAGGGGCGCCCTCTCTCCCACCTCGGGGAGGGCTTTATGCCACAGCTGCCCTGCCTGGTGGGCTCAGGAGCTGCTGGCTAGGTGGGCTGCTGTCCCTCTCCAGCTCCAGGCCCGTCTGGAGACCACCGAGGCTCGGCTGCGGAGGTCAGAGCTAGAGCACAGCGTGGACCTGGAGGAGGCCCTGGGCCGTCTGGAGGCCGCTGAGCAGAGGTGAGTCAGGACTGATGCGGCCGTCAGGGCTACCGGGAGCTCGGCCGTCACCCCTGGAGGCAGCAGGCCCCACTATGCCTTGGGGCCGTTGGCCAGTCTCTTCCCAAAGTGACTCCAAGTCAAACTTGCCTGGACGCGTTGGCCCCAGGCTTCAGAGGCAGGGGAAGGAGTGGGCAGAGCAGGGTGGGGAGGGGGACCAACCGGCTGTGGGCCTCAGGTGTGGGGTGCAGGTCCCATAGGTCTGGGGGGTCTCGCCGGCCCTGCGCTTCCGAGCATGCCACCTCCAGGCCCCGACGCCACCGAGGCTGGTGCTCTGGCCAGTGCTGCAGGCAGGCCCCCTGAGCTGACCGTGGCCCTTGCTAGCACAGCTAGTCCTGGGGTGCCCATGGGTGCTTCCCTCAACCCCACCCTTCTTCAGTGCTCTGGCCCTGACTCCCAGGCCCCTTTGGCTCAGGCCACTCTGACTTCATGGTCAGGGGCTCCTCTGTCCCCCAGCGGCCAGCACGTGTCATGCCCTAGCCTGGTAACCCCAGCCCTCCAGAAGTACCCCTGACCCCAAGCTCTAGGACACCGTCCCCAGAAGGGAAGGGGCATGTCTCCACACTGCAGGGAGAACAGCCAGGAGGGGTTGAGCCCCTGAGCTCGGCTGCGTCTTCAGACCTGGGGGAGGTTAGGACATTTGTGGAATACTTCCCGTTACTTGCTTCATCCTCAGGGACTCTGGAAACAGAAGGAAAGTGCTGAGAAGCATTTTGAAAACCAGTTTTCAAAAAACAGCAGGGGCGGGGGTGAGGGGTCACAACCCAAGAGGAGGTGATGCTCCGGTTGGAAGGGGGGCAGAGAAGGTCCCTTTCGCGGCCTCGCAGCCTGGCCGGCAGGGCTCGCTCTCGGAGGGCCGCTCTACCCATCACGGCCAGTTTCAGTGGAGAGAGGACCCCACGGTCACAGGGGGGCTGCCCCCCTTCACGGGACGTCATCTCTCCACTGCCCTGCCCTTTCCTCCCAGGCCCGGTCCCCTCAGCTGCCAGAGCCGCCCCTCTCATGCGTCTCCGGGCTCACCCCTGCACCTGGGACAGAGCCAGCCGCACTCGTGGGGCCCAGCTAGGGACGCTCTGCATGGGAGGCGGAGGGCGAGCACGCGTCTCCGAGACGGAGGGTGCCGGGGGGCACTCAGATACTGGCCCCAGTTCGGGGAGCTGTGGGCACCCCATGGCAGGTGGTCAGTGCCGCTTAGCGGTGGCTTGGGGACCTTCACACCGAGCTGGCCTGGCCGGGCCCAGGGAGCATGGGGCTTGGCTCTCAGAGCCTTTGGAAGGAGAAGCCACCTGCCCATGGTCATGCTGCTGCGGTTTCTGCCCGGCCAGGAGCACCGGCCTCTCCCAGGTGAACACCCTTCTGCGGAAACAGCTGGAGCACATGAAGAAGGCCAACGACAGGCTGGCCGAGGAGCTGGCCAGGACAGCGGACAGTGTGCTCCATCTTCAGAGCAAGCTGGAGCTGAGGGAGGCGCAGCGCTGGACTGAGAGACAGGTGCTTTCCCGCTTTTGCCCACTGGCAGGGGACACCTGTCCCGGTGCTTATGGCCCACGGCAGGGGGGAGGCGGTGGGGGCTGGGAGAGAGTGAATTGGCTCTAGCTGTGGTTCCTCCTGGAGGGCAAGGCTGCTGACCTGCTGCCACACCATGTTCCCCATCGAGCTGGGCCACAACAGTCTACAGAGTGGGGGCACCATGTTAGGGAGGCCCTTCCTTGAGACCAGGCAGGCAGGACCCCAAGATCAGACTTGGAAAGTAGGATGAGGGCACAGGGTCCTGGCTCTGGCACGGCCTGCCCCATTCTTGAGAAAGAAGGAGGTCTCCGTAGGCCTGACTCCTGCTCGGGCTGCAGGGGTGGGGGGGCACTCGAAGGAGCCTGGGGCTACACCGTTGCTCCCAGCCCCTGGCCAGCGGCAGCAGGGCCCGCCCAGGCCTTGCCTGATCACAGTCTTCCGAAACCCTAAGCCCTTCAGGGGCTCAGGGCACAGTGCCCTAGGCCGCAGGCCCTGGGGGTGGTCGCTAATGGCAAGACCCCTGGCGTGGGCTGGGGGAGATGCTTGGGACACATCACACCCTGCTCCCCTGCCTGGTCCAGGTCTTCCCACGGCTATGCTTGTGGCCACTGAGTGAAAAGAGGCATTCATGCCTCTGCTCTGGTCTGTCCTTGGACACAGCCCCCTGAAAGGGGCATGGCCTGGGGCAAGGTGGGCCTCCACAGCTGTGGCCATCTCTAAAGGGAGCAGGTGTCCCCACGGCCTTCCTACTGTCCTCTGCCGGCGCCACTGGCAGGATTTTTCCCAGACACCACCTGGAAAATGGTCGCTTCCAGGTGAAAGCAGAGGCCAAGGGCAGCCAGCGTGCCTGGGCCTCAGGCTGATCACACCCAGACGTCCCTCAGACAAGCCCACCTCCCAGGGCCGTCCTGCACTGCCCGCCCAGCATCAGGCGGAAAGGACAGCCGGCTGGGCCCCTGCAGGCCCGGGGCATTGCTGCCACGCAGCACGGCTTGGCCCCTGTGCCCGGCCATCTGTGGCTGTGGTTCCGTGGGAGGCCGGGTGGGCCCTCCTACTGTGCAGAAGCAGAGCGCCCACAGAGGGAGAGTGCCACCTTTACTCGTGTCACCGAGAGGCCGTGTCTGTCCCCGCAGGGTAGTGGCTGACAGCAGGGGGCCTGTTAGAGGCAGCCCACGACCCTGCCCCCGCCTCCTCCTACAGCCGGGCTTGTGACCGCAGAGCGGAACAAATGCCCTGGAGGACAGGTCTCTAGTTCAGCTTGGATTGGCTTGTCAAGGGTCTTCATTTCCCCCTTGGCCGTGAAAGAAGGTCTCATGGTCGGCGGGTGCTCTCTCTCAGTACCTTAAAGACCCTTCCCTTGTCCTCTGGCTCTGCGGTTGCTGCCAGAAGTCAGTGCCCGGGGCCTTTGATGCCGGTGGACTCCCGGCAAAGGTAATCTGTCCTCCCACCAGGCAGCTTTGACGTCGCCGTTCTGCGGTTTTACTAGGATGTGTCCCTGTGCAGATTTCTTTCTGTTTATTCTGATTCAGACTCATCAGGATGCTGTGTCTCTGTTACTTTTGGAAAGTAGCCCTCACGTCTCCGAGCGTTGCCTGTGCCCATCCTCGCTCCTCCCAACCCCGAGCAGGCCAGCTGCTCTCACGACCCCCCGAGCCCCCCAGGCTTCTGAACCTGGCCTGTCTTCTCTCTGTCACCCTGGATTGTATTCTAGACAATTTCAAATATACCTACCTGGTCAGCTCGTCTGTCTCTGGTGTCCAAGCTCTGTTAAACCTGCCTGCTTTGTTAAATTCCAAATATTGTGTTTTTCATCTTTAAGAATTCTGGTAGATTCTTTTCCAAATATCTTACTCTTAACTCACATGTTCAAACCTCTCGTCTACTTGCTGACGCGTCCTGAAAATGGTTATGTTCTCCACTGTGTCTGATGTTCCAACATCTCAAGTTCCTTAAGGTCTGATTCTATTGTTTCTGCTGGCTTTTGATCATAGTGCTCTGTTTCCTTGTGTCTTTGGTGATTTTATTTTTTTATTTTAAACCAAGAGCTATTTATTTTTCTTGGAACTTTGTGAAAGTTCTTTGGAACCTGGAATGGATGTGGTATCTTCCAGAAAGGGTTTTCATTTGCTTCTTACAGGTGCATAGGGGCTCTGACAGTCTTTGGGGCCACAATGAAGTACATTTTCAGCCTGAGTTGTTTTTAAGCCACCAGGTTATATGACTTCAGACTGAAAACTACAGGCTGCCTTGTCGCCCCGTATCCACAGGGAAGATCCTTTTCCTTCCCATTTTACCACCAGACTGCTGTCACAGCAGCACAGACCGGGGCTTATGTTATGTTAACATTAATTCTCACAGTTCTAGAGACAGAAAGTCCAAGATCAAGGTGAGAGACTATTCAGTGTGTGGCCAGGGCTGCTTCCGGGGCCCGGACAGCTCCTTCTCACTATAACTACACAGACACACGCACACACACATGCACACGCACATGCACATGCACGCACACACACACACACACACGCATGCATGCATGCACACATGCCCAGACAGCTCCTTCTCACTATAACTACACACACACATGCGCACACACACACACACATGCACACACACACACACGCCTGGACAGCTCCTTCTCACTATAACCACACACACACGCACACACACATCCACACATGCACATGCACACATGCACAAACACACACACACCTGGACAGCTCTTTCTCACTATAACCACACACGCACATGCACACACACACACATACACACCTGGACAGCTCC